CATTATGGCAAGGCTGGGATGGTCTATTTGGTAAAGTAAATCCGTTGGGCATCTTTCTTCACCTTTAGACAATAAATCTGATGGCAAAAGAGCCAAACGGGACAGGCAAAAAAAAAAAAACAGTAAAGATGCAAGGAGCAGAGAAGATGGATGAGTTTAAATACCTGGGGCTAACCATGCGTAACAATTCACAGTTCACAAAAGAAAGAGCCAGGGTGGAGATGAGTGGAGGGGGTGATTTGTGGCAGAAAGATAGCTAGAGTGAACGGGAAGGTTGGCACAGTGTGGGATGTGGGTGATCACAACACAGACAAGAGAAACACAGGGCTTAAATACACAGAGGGAGCAATCAGGGAATGGGATACAGGAGGGAAACACAGCTGGGAAAAATCAGGGCTAACGAGACAAGGTAAGCAAAACCAGATAAGTCAAAGGAGCTTGCAAAGAAAAGCGTCTGGACTTCTTTAAGTTGCTTGAAGACGTTTCACCTCTCATCCGAGAAGCTTCTTCAGTTCTTCAAGCAACTTAAAGAAGTCCAGACGCTTTTCTTTGCAAGCTCCTTTGACTACGATGACCTGGATGACTGAGAACCTTCACAGACAAAACCAGATGAATTAACACAGACCAAAGTGTGGGCCCGCCCCCACGGGGGAGCCATTGCAGGGGGGGCGCGGTATGAAAAGGGAAAAAACAAAACAATGCTTGGACACTGCTAGCACGGGGCTCCCACACAAAACGCAAAGGAGGAGATGAAGCATTCTAAGCCACAGACTAGAAAATATGGTGAAGCAAATCTGCCCTTTGGCTTCACCTGCACAAGTGCTGGGTGTAGGAGTGTTTAGCTGATTTTAGAGTTTAGAAATGTGTTAACATAGAATGTAGAACTATTGTAGAGACACTGCCCTCAATATAATAAAGGCCTCACTGTGTCATGAACTTAGGAGTAGAGTGTAGGAGACCCCTCCCCCACTTGAGCTGTGAAAGTAAAACAGAGAAGAGTTAATGCTGAGTGGAAATTTCCCAGAGAATGTTTGGGTGGGGGTCTCAACATTTGTAACTGGATAACTGTGGTCTGGAAGGGAGATGGGTTTTATGACCTCTAGGGAGTCACCTACACCCACAGTGTTTTAACTGTCACGCACACACATCCACACGCACACTCACTCATGTGCACTCACACATACACACAGGTATGCGTACACAGTCACACACGAGCACTCACATAGACACGTGGGAAAGCGCACATGTAGGCATTCATGTGCTCGTGCACATAGATACAGACACAGAGTTTGCAGCACACCGTGGGGGGTTTTATGATGGGGACGCCTCTATAAAGCTGGCTGTAACGAACAAAGGGTGAAGATTTGGAGAGGGACACCGGCCTCGTCTTCCCTTCTAGAAGATGCATGCTTAAATGAGGATAAATGAAGAAGAGTAAAGATAAATGAAGATGAGTAAAGATGAATAAAGGTTTTGTGAAAATGACTACTGAGTCCGGTGCCATCTCTGGATGCTCGAGGAATAAAAAGAACCGGGGTAAAACTGATTTCGCAACATGAGGTAGGTCTCCCTGCAGATTTTCCCTTCGTCGGGAGCAGCGCTGGGCTCTCCAAATCACAGACAAACAGGATCCTACAGCTGTTTATGTTTTTGAACACATTTTGCACAGAGAGGCATTTTTTTGAAAAATGTATTGTATGTTGAATATTATTACACAGGAAAAAACAACTAGATGCACAGTAAAATTCGGAGTGTTAAAATAACACTTAAAGAGTTAAATTTAACACTGGTCCCGAGTCTATTTGGTCCCATTCGGAATTGGTGTTAAATCAACTCTTTCTATAGTGTTAAAATTTTAGAGTAAAATTAACTCTAAATAGAGTAAAAATTTAACACTGAGTAACACCGCAGAGTGTTAAATGAACCTAACACTACTAGTAGTGTCATATTATTTACTCTAACATAGTGATAAATTAACTCTATTTGAGTAAAATTCCACTGATTTTTAACACTGAATTGAGTTATTTCAAGTTAACACTGGGGTTCAAATAACTCTGATGAGAGTTGATGTTACTCTATACTGTGTTATTCGTACACTTTTTCTTGTGAAAAATTAGCTCTCATAGAGTAAAATTTTAAATTAATTTTACACCAAGTAGTGTTACTAAAACTCTTCCTCTTCCAGCATGAAAACCTGGTTTCTAATAATGCTTTAAAATATAAAACAAGTAAGCAAAAACCACAACTAGATAATACGTTTAACAGCTTTATTTGATGTCAGGCTCAAAATATTAAAACATCTCATGTAGTGTACATAAAACACTACACACACAAAAACAGTCATAAAACACTTTAAAACAATGAATTTAGTTCGGCATAAAATGACAATATGGAACCACATACAGGGAGGAATCAGAAGTGCCATACTTCATTTGAAGATCAAATGGTTTGAAGTAACACAGCTCTTTTATGTTCAACACCTTCAGCACCATATTGGGGTGCATTCTGACCTTAAATGCATGATAATGGTCATCAAAACACAGGGTTTCCATCAGTTTTCCACAGAGCAATGCAATGTCATCTTTCACAACAATACTTTTGATCTTATAAAACACTGGAATCTCAGACACTACCTCTGTACAGATGATAAAGTCAGGGCGGTACTCTGTACCATGATGTTTTATCCACTTAGCTGAAAAAACACTGGTAGACAACGCAGCTCCAAATTTTAAAGCAATTTCTGGACCTTCTTTCAGCTCTCCAAGTGTCACCATCTTTCCTGGTCCTAAAGCTAATCTTTCGAGGCTAAAAGACTCCCAATACATGGCCATACAACTTTGGTGTTTCTTGGCCAATGTCATTGTAATGTTTTAAAGCTTTTTAATTGCTTCTTAAAGAAGTTATGTTTGGCTTCGTAACGCATGCACCACATGTGCAGAATTGGGCCAATATTTCGTATACTGCGAGGGTAATGTATCATGAAGTGATGCTTTGGTAGGAGACTGAGTGTAGGAAATAACTGCTTAAAGAGCTGATGATGATCAATAATTAAATGTTTGAGGTAGATGGTCATACCTTCTGACAGCACTGGTGAAAACACAATATTGACAATTTGTAGAAGCAGAAGTAGAAGATGCCAGTAGCTATCACCCACCTGTACCAAATCGCCAAACATCAAAGGTACATTACGCAATAAGCACCAAGATTGAATTGCATTTAGTCCTAAATCATTACTGCCATCAAACAACTTTACCCTTGGTGGGCGATTTCGCTGCTGATTGAAGCCATAGTAAAAGGCATGTATTCTACCAGCAAGTTGTTCAGCACTTAGGAAGTTCTCCTGAATGTACTGCAGCACAAGTTTCACCTCTAACTGAGCAACTCCCTCCAAAATGTCATGCATGATATCTACAGAAAAATTGTTGGCTGTGTTGAAATATTTAAGTGAATTCAAGAGACAAGTGTGTTTCACACCACATACATGAGGTAGCGTAGGATCTCTTTGTACACTTTCACAGTGCTGCTTATGCATATCAAGAGTTCTTAGTGCAACACCAGAATCATCTTCACAGAACACACTTTGAAAACAATCCTTCTCAAGCAGACAAAAACGACAACAATATCGAGCTGCAAATGACTCCACGAACCCAAACAGACTATGCAAGCCAAGATTGTCCCCAGTGACCTGGATTACAGTGCCATGAACCAAGTGTTTAAACATGGGAAGTTTCAGTCCCTCTGTCTCAAGAACTTTCAGATCATTGACAAGTGGCTCAAGGATTGAATTAAAGCCATAACGCTTTGAGTCTTGTGCATGAAAAAGAGCACACAAATGAATATTGACCAACAACGAATTAAAGATTGGAGGAAAATTCCTTAGTGTAAAGTATATTGCACCTAATTTATGTACACCCTTTTTAGAGCCCAGGGGATTTGCAGTTTCAAAGTCATCATAAAACAGTTGAATTTGTAAGGCATCTTTTTCTGCAGAAAATAGGGGACATCTTTTAACATAGGCAGCATCGATTAAGTCTGCATACACACCTTCTCTGGACATATTCCTCGACTTGAACATGTCGACAACATGGTGGTTTTGAAAGATAGTTTTCAGTGTTTCCAAAATAGGAACATATGCAAACCTATCGGTTACAATGACTTGATCAAAAGTCCCTGTGATCTTGTTTCTTCTACTGTCAAATCTTGTGCCAAGCACCATTTCAACAGGTTCAACAGTTGCCCATTTTTGTTTAAAGTGCCTATTTCGTTTAGCTTCTGAATTTAACAGTGTGAATGGGTTTTCAAAGTTTTGAATGACTGCTCTAATTTCTTTTTACTTGAAGTGTCCTGTGAAGGTAAGCTCTGTAAAGCTGCATCTTTAGCCTGAGTATGAATCTCAAAAAACACTTCCTCCATTGAGGAGACAAAACTATTCACAGTAGATTGGCTTAATCCAGCTGCCCTGAGCTGTGCAACAGTAGAGGCACACATATCCAAAGTGCTCTTATTTGAACTTTTCAACATTTCAGATGTTGTGGGTGTTTCTTCTACATTAGTTGACACCACCTGCCCTGTAGTGCTAACTTCTTTAACTGCCACATCAGGCTGTAAATTAACATCAGTGTCAGCCTGTTGGTCGAAATAGTTAAGGTGTTTGGTATTTAAATGTTTTCTAAAACCTGAAAAAGTGCCAAACACACAGCCACAGTCACGCTGGGCACATTTAAGGCGAAGGTTTCTTCCAGGTAAGTAACCATGGACTAACCGTAAATGCCTAACAAGCATGTTTGAACCAGTAAACTCAGCTTGACAGACAAAACACTTCATGATGGAGAATTAACCTTCAAGCCCTAACGAAGCAACCTTGTCCTTATTTCAGCAACTCTTTGATTTTGCCAACATCTATATTGTACACAGTGGTTTGGATGAACGTGTACATGTTGTGAAGCATGGTGTTGTAAGATGTTCCAAACACAAAATGTGCTTTAAACAGTTCATCAAAAGCACCAAGTGAAGAGGTAGACTTGCATGGTATGGCATTCTTGTCAAGAATAATGAAGAACTGGTGGATGTCATGCTTTTTCACCCCAACAGCCAGGAGGTAGGGTTGAGTGCTGGTAGTGATGGCATCAAGGTGCTCTTGGATATTTGTTCCAGTCTGAAAAGACAAATACAGACAGGCAATAAGAATCAAGTGTTTCTTAAACTGGTAATTCATACCATAAAAATAGAAAAGAAACAAACCTTCTTGAAGACCACAAGATGCCTTTCTGCTTGAGAAGCTGACACCTTTCCTGGTCTCTTCCGACCCTGACCAGATGGTGGAATCAAATGTAATAGCAATAGAATCGCTGAGAGGTCACTGTCCCAGCCTGAAAAATATATTTGTTTTTAATAAAGTTGAATCATCCTCATCAATAACAAATTTCAATGCATCTGCATTGACAAAATGTTTGAGTAGACCCAAAATACAAAAGGACAGCTGTTCTGTGACAAACATTATATATCCTGTGAATGTTCTAATTAAAGAAATAACAGCTCACCAATGTCAGCATTAACTTCAGTGGCATCCTCAGGAGAGTCAGCTGCCAGCAAGAGTTCTTCCAGGTCACTGGTAGAAGGAAGCTTTCTGCCTTGTTGGATAATCTATCTTTTGAATGTTGTTGGCCACCTCTCCAGCAACCTGCCTGATACATCCTCACCAAACATCAGTACAAAATCCTGTTCGATCTGTAACAGGGATAGAGAACAGAGAATTATATCTGCTATCTGCAAAAAATAAAATGTGTTTACATTGTCAACGTAATGAAAAATATTCACCAAGCCTTTGATATCTTTGAAACGTGGAAACACAGACAGTATGTTGCTTGACAGCAGGGGGTCAAGGACCATGTTGTGTCGATAAACAAATGTCAACTTCATCTTCTTCTTGACTGTGTCTTCATCAGCTGAATGTTTCATCAGAGAGATTGCTTCCTTGCACTCATCCTCACTCAGCACGTTCTCTGTAACAAACTGCAACTCTCGTCTGACAGTTGGTCCACCACACTGGTCTTCACCCGATGATCCATCTCCTGGTGCTAGACAATATGAAATACAACTTTATCAAAACTAATAATAACATTTGATAACCATTATTAATACAGAACCACAATTTGGAACTGTATTATACGTTTCCACTGAATTATAAGTGTTACCTCCAGATGTTAATCGCCTCTCTTTAGCAGTGCATCTCTGTATGGTTTTAATCCTCCAGGCCAAGTACCCATTGCCACTCTCGCCATCATAATAATGTTCCTTGGAGAATGACATATACAGACATTTTGTTTATTAATTTATCAGTAAGTTATGTGACCATGAACAGTTGATAAGGACATACATTTTGGCAGGATTTAAAATTTTGATTTTAGTTGTATCAGTTATTGCTGTTAGCTACTTACATAGCCATTTTTTGAGTACGGGTCACTGAGGTAAGGGAAAAAGGTTACAATTCCTCTGGCATACATTTCTTTTACCTGCCGTGGTGGTGATGTACTGCAAGATCAAAAGGAAAAGAACTAGTCAGCTTCGCTGGAATTAATAGAGATTTAAAATAATTTGAAAATGATAGTAAAAATCACAGGGCCAGAAATAAATTACCCATTTTTTTCTGTCATGTCAGCTACCAGTATGTTGACCATTTTTCTTCTGGTTTCATCCACCAGGGACTTGGTCCGATTGTACTCATTTATTATACGTTCTCCACCAGGTTTGCTTGTGAGAATGGATTCCACCAACTGGAAAACACAATAAAAACATTCTACATGTTGATATAACCACTACAGTTCAGAACACTTAAACTACAAACAAAAAAGACACTATTAGAAGAATGTGGAAATCTGTTAACTCTTACTTGCTTAGCTTCTGCATCCAGCTTCTGACGTTTCCTCAAAGGGCTGTCTGAAAGGATGACCGTATCCTGTGAATCTGATGAATGTGCGATGATAACTGGAACCGCTCAGGAGACACTTCTGCAACAGATGTTTCCAGACCTTAAAAATAGGAGCAAAACAAATTAGTTTACATGGTCCCTCCATAGACTCATTTTATACACTCTTTGATTAAACAATGTAATAATGACACAAAAAAAAAAAAAGACATCCAATGAAACACAAATCACTCAAACAAACCTGTTTCATATTGATGGTTAGTACCCCGGTTGAGGGATCTGTTACTATATCCTCAAAAACATCCTCATCCAACTCAGTCCCTGAACTATCAAAACTTTCACTCCTTCTGTTACGGCTGGCGCACCAAACTTTGCAAATGCTGGAAACAAGCACACAAGTTTGTGTAAACAAAAAGACATGACATTTAATGTTTTGTAGCTTAAAATAAAGATCATTTCAAGATACTCTTTCAAAAATGAGTCAGATAAACAAAGGCTAAATTATTAAGCGCCACTAACATGCTTGATAAGTGGTAGATTAAAAGGAGTGACACTCACATTATGCAGTTTTCCCCCCACTAAATATACATTCATAACTAAGATGCTTCCAAAACACAGATCATTTTCAATTAATCATAAAATGCAGTTTGAAGAGACTAAATAACAAAAAGAACTTAAAGCCTCTTGTACACCTTTTTAATACAATGTTGGTTCTTACCGGCAATCAAAAACTCCTTAAGGCTTGGCTCAGATACTCTAACAAATTTCTGCACACCTCCGAGTTTTGCTTTAAGCAGCATGCTTCCTGTAGACAGTAATTTCTTATAGTCAGTGCTCTTCATTGAACTACAGTAAACAGAAAATGTGAATATTAAAACAGTCCCATAAACAGCCTTGCAATGTGATTTCTTACACTGTATGTTACTTTTATGTCAGTGTAACAAGGTGTCAAGATATAATCCTCAATACAAACTAAAATAATAACTACTACTTTTTACCATTTGTCTGACCTAACTTAGCACTAGGGAGTCAGTATTTTGTTCATCTTTAGTTTAACATACTGAACAGTCTGGTAACCAAAATGGAAAGCAGCAGGGTAACTTTTGTCAATACCATCAACTCACAATAAATACAAACGCTGTCATCTTAAATTCAAACTACTAAAAAAATGCATTAAAAACTGAATCCTGGACATTTTGGATATTTTATCAAGCTTATAACACCTGCTGGTTGTAATCCTGTAACTGTAAAATCGCTGAAGACAGCCGAGTTAAAATAAGACAATAACCTTACTAAAACGACCTCTATATCTGGTACCTAGGTATCAAAAAAAGAAAAAAAGAAAGATGTAACATTTAGTGTACAATTTTAATTAGTTAATGCTTGAGTTAGGTGATTTAAAATTTAACGATAACTAGCGAATTGCCCGCGCACTGAGGTTAGCCAAAATGCTAGTTAGCTAGCTAATGTTAATATGTAGATCCCAACACATGGAGGGTTTCATTTAATGGAATTTCGAACATGCTAGAACACAACACAATCACCACTACACACTGAATAAATTTTGATAACAAGCCTTACAGTCCAACACTGATATCAGTCAACTTTTTAGCTAATTAACAACCTTACATTAGCATACAGATAGTGTCACATTTGCTTCTGGTACAAAATGAAATATATAATAAACATGGACAAAAGGAATGTAACCTTATTTTAACGTGCTACCTGTGCTTAAAATGTCGAATTGTTGGTTTAATAAGTAAATATGCCACACAAGAAATCAAGAAAGATTTAATGTTTTTGAAACAGAGACAATATGAAAGTGGCATTAAATCTACCAAAATATTGGCGTGGAAATTGAAAAAAAAGATAGCGGAAAATACAATTTATAAAATTAGGGACCCAAGTACAAAAGTGATACAAAATAAATTAAATGAAATACAGGAAGCCTTTGAAAGATTTTATAAAACCTATACTCTGAAGCCCCGGGCGGGACTGAAGCTCAGATGGATAGCTTTCTGAACTCTCTAGACTTACCCACTCTAGATGAAGAACAAAATCAAGCAATGACAATGAATATAACTGAGGAAGAATTAAAAGCTGCAATTAATAGGCTTAAATTAAGTAAATCACCAGGACCAGATGGTTACACGGCAGAGTGGTATAAAGAATTTAAAAAGGAACTGATACCTGTCTTACTGCCTACATTGAATTGGGTTTTGAAAAAGGCACAAATGCCCCCAGTTGGAAGGAGGCAATTATTTCAGTTATACCAAAAGAAGGCAAGATAAAATGGAATGTGGATCTTTCAGGCCAATCTCTGTTCTTAACGTGGACTATAAACTTTTCACATCTATCATGGCCAAACGGCTAGAAGAGTTCCTACCAACACTGATATGTAATGATCAAACAGGTTTCATACATCAACGCCAAACACAGGACAATATACGAAAGACACTACACATTATGGACCATATACAAAAACACAAAATCAAAGCAATTGTGATGAGTGTAGACGCTGAAAAAGCCTTTGACTCTGTCAATTGGAAGTTCCTCTACAGGTACTATATAAATTTGGCTTTCATGATATGATTATTAAAACGATACAAGCATTATATGATAATCCTACAGCCAGGATCAAAATTAATGGATGCCTATCCAACAGTTTTACCCTAAAAAGGGGCACTAGACAGGGCTGTGCATGGTCACCGTTACTTTTTGCACTATACTTGGAACCACTAGCTCAATCCATCAGGCAAAATAAGGACATTAAGGGAATTTTTATCAAAGGGACACAATATAAACTGGCTTGCTACGCGGATGACATTTTGATTTACCTTGGACACCCAACATATTCTTTACCCAAGCTGATGCAGTCATTTGAACAATACGGCCAATTATCAGGCTATAAAATTAATATAGGTAAAACCCAGCTACTCTCATATAACTACAGCCCACCAGAAGAAATAAAATGTAGCTACTCTCTGGTATGGCAAACGGAGTGTTTTAAATATTTAGGCATAAATTTACCGAAAGACCTTACAAAACTATTCGAACAGAACTACCTACCTTATACAAAAAATAAAGGAAGATATAGTAAGATGGAATTTAATTCCTTTCTTTAGTTTTAATTCAAGAATTGATTCTATTAAAATGAATGTATTGCCAAGATTTTTGTATCTATTTCAAATCCTACCAATAGAGATTAACCAAAGTCAATTTAATGAGTGGGATAAAATGTTATCTAGATATATATGGCAAGGTAAAAGACCAAGGGTTCGCCTTAAAACACTACAGCTGGCTAAGCAAAAGGGAGGATGGGGCCTCCCTGACCTCAGATATTATTATTTTGCAGCGCAGATGAGAGCAATAATATGCTGGTGTAACCAATCATACACTGCCCAATGGAAAACCATTGAGGAACAAATGCTGTCTATACCTATTCAGGCAACTCTAGCTGACAATAACTTACAAACCTATATAAAAAATACTGATAACATGTGGGTGAAAAGGACCCTTAAAACATGGAGAACTATTATAAAGGAATATAAACTCGAGACCAATATTACAGTTCTTAAATGGTGTGCTTACGACTCAGAGTTCAAACCTAATGAACTGGATTCTAGATTCAAGGACTGGACAGGTAAGGGCATAACAGCCCTGTGCAGTATAATGAAGGATGGAAAATTGTTCAGCTTTGACATGCTTAGAAAAACATTTTCATTAGAAAAAGAAGACTTCTATCGATATCTGCAGTTAAGGCACTATGCCGACACGAAGATGAGAAACGTAACAATGATAAACACACGCTTGATGGAACTGTTTATAAAAGCTATAACTCAGAAACTATTGATAGAATTGTATCATGTCTCTATAAGGGTCTAATGGATTTGAAACCACATTCGACTTCATATATTAGAACAAAATGGGAGAAGGAAGGAGGGATAAAAATATTAGAGGAAGAATGGACGGCAATATGGAGATATCAGTGGATGTGTACCAGCTCACAAAAGTGGAGGGAATTTGGCTGGAAGTGCCTAATTAGATACTTTATAACACCTTCTCAGAAGTCTCATTATGATGATAACCCCTGCTTGTTGGAGGAACTGTGGAAATCAAAGTGCAAATCATTACCATATTTTCTGGGACTGCTCAATCTTGAGGGATTATTGGAGAGAAATACATAATGCCTTACAGGATATCTTTAAACATGAAATACCTCTCGAGAGTAAGACTATGTTCTTTGGATATATACCTCAGGAATGGCCTAAATATGATAAACATTTAATAAATATTTTATTGGTGGCCTGTAAAAAGAATATCACCAGAAAATGGTTA